AGTACTGCTCTTAAACTACGCATCATGTACTAAAGTACTGCTCTTAAGGTTCCTCAAAATTGTCAAAAGTCAATACATTTGGAGATACATGTTTTTCAATTGACAGGAAAAGTATGAAACAGTGTAATTTACTAAGGACGACTCACCGAGCCACCACTGAGGTCTTCTCCTTCTGCAGAAGCCGTCTCTCCTCCGGGCTGAGCCCTCGGTCCTGGTCGGACAGGATCCCCTCATCTGGACCGAAGACCCGGGAGTAAAGAACCCGACTCTCTCCGGCACCAAGAGCACCGACCGGACAGACGCTATGGATCAGGAAACAACGAACCATGTTGTCACGTGTGGACAATTACGTCTCACGAGCAGTGTTTACTAATGTTRCTACTGATTCCTCACTTCCGCGTTAGTCAGCTGACCGCTCTTGGTAATAGTTGCTACGCGTTGTTTGAACCAYCAGATGGCGCTCGCATTATACATTATATTATATTATATTACATTACATTACTATGTTATATTATATTATATTATATTATATTATATTACATTACATTACTATGTTATATTACATTACATTACATTATATATATTACATTATATTACATTACATTACATTACATTATATTATATTATATTACATTACTATGTTATATTATATGATATTATATTACATTACATTACTATGTTATATTACATTACATTACATTATATTATATTATATTATATTACATTACATTACTATGTTATATTATATTATATTATATTATATTACATTACATTACTATGTTATATTACATTACATTACATTACATTACATTGTATTATATTATATTACATTACATTACTATGTTATATTACATTACATTACATTACATTACATTATATTATATTACATTATATTACTATGTTATATTATATTATATTATATTACATTACATTACATTATATTATATTACATTACATTACTATGTTATATTATATTATATTATATTACATTATATTATATTATATTACATTACATTACATTACTGTTATATTACATTACATTACATTACTATGTTATATTACATTACATTACATTACATTATATTATATTACATTACATTACATTACATTACGTTATATTATATTATATTATATTCAAACCAAGACTAACAAATGTAGGGAGAAGCAAACATCTTAAGTAATATTAAGGAAAATAGGAAGACAGGATATAGGGCACAAAACATAAAGATATTCAATATATTATCATAGAATACCAGAAAAAAATGCATTTGTGAAGCTGGAACCAGTGAATTCTTTTTTCTTGACAAATGTACAACAAGGATAAATTAATCTGATCAGATCAGATCGACCTCAATTGAATTAGAAATAACCGAAAGACTGAAACTGATAAGAATTTGAGAAAGCGTGTCGTTGTGTAGATGTGGATTAAAACAGGAGAAGGAGGCTGCTGAGAGGTTGAGTGAGAGATCAGACCAGAGATTGTTTCGGGGGTCTCAGAAGACAAACAGAGGCAGCTGTTAATCCAACAGCTGCTGCTGGTCACGCTTCTTTACTCTGACAGGCCCTGCTCAGTGTGTGTGTGTGTGTGTGTGTGTGTCTGTGTGTGTGTGTGGGGGTAGGGGGGTAGAAAAGAAAAAAGACATTCACTCTACTGTCCTGTTAACCTCCTCACCCTCTGCCCATCAGCTGCTGAGACTGAGACACGCTGTAGCAAGACCTGAGGATGCGATGGTTCTTGTTGTTTGTGGGATTTCATTTTGTTAGGGATTAAAATCTTTCTTTATCTGACATTCTGCTCTGCTTTTTGTCATTTTCTTTACAGCTGTAAGACGAGAGCAGCAGCACATAAGTGCATACGGTTTAATGGCTTTAGGGATAGCGATGTCTGTCTGTCCACCACTGTGGTCACTGAAATATCTCAGAGATGAATGGGCAAATTGCCATCAAATTAAAGACATTCATGGTCCCCAGCAGATGAACCTGAATTACCTCCTCTGACTTTTAATCTAGTGCCTCGAGCAGAGTCCTCAGCATTGCCTTGAATTAACTGCCTTGAAATCTCCTGGAGGGCCATTAGAGCTTCTTCCAGACTAATGAACGCTTAAATTGAACCACCAAGGAGTCAAGTTTATTAACTCAAAATGAATGTTGTCTGATTACAAGATTTCAATTTAGCAGTGAAATACTGTACCTCCAAATCTACCAGATGGATTTGCATGAATTTGGTAACAACACCTGACTTTTTCTCCATCTTACATCTTTTGGATGGATTGCCATGAAACTGGGGACAGACATTTAGCCTCGTCTTGAATTAGGGGATGGTCAGTTCTTGTTTTTTCAGCACTAACGAAGATTAAGTTATATTTAACTCGGGGAGTCTTGTTTGTACTGCCGCAGGGACAACCGAAAAGCTCGACCAGCCGGACAAGTTCTGTCTGATGCTTGATAATTGTAATGAAATACAGTTTGCGTAACATGTTAAAATGCTATAAAAAGTTTATTGCTAGAACGTAGAAGTGTGTAGTTGTCAAAATTGTCACAAAAACGAACACCAGAATCCCCTTCTGTATAAGCTACTATCACTTTGAGCTTTGTATCATGTTCATTAATGCGTCTTAATCTAGTCAAAAGACAAATTTTAAGAGAGTAGTTCGACATTTTCTCATGACTGTACATTTAATATGAAGCTCCAGCCAGCAGACAGTTAGCTTAGCTTAGCATAAAGACTGCAAACAGGGGGAAACAGCTAGCCTGGCTCTGTTCAGATTTTACCTTCAGACAAGGCCAAGCTAGCTGTTTTCCCCCTGATTCCAGTCTTCATGCTAAGCTAAGCTACCTGCTGACCGTAGCTTCATATTAACCGTACACACATGAGACTCTCTGCAAGAAAGCTATTATTGCCTTCTTTAGATTAAGGTTGGGTTTGATGTACAATCCTCCACTTAATGTTCAGTCTAGCTTTGTGAAGCTCTTCATCTGAAAAGGTGTGGACAAGAACTATTTCTGCAACTCCCACGCTGTGTGTAATAATTAACCCAGAGCACTTTGCAGGTGAGTAAATGAGCAGGATCTCTGGAGGTAATGATCAGCCACAATCAGTGTGAAAATGCAAAGTGAAGCCAGATTTCCAGAAGGTCAGATTTTCACTGCAGCAACGGTATCCAGGGGATCAGATGTTCAAAAAGCAGGGAGCATGGAGGATGTGCAGCCGTGAACACCACAACAGTGTTTTCTAACTCTGAGTCACAGCTCCCTCTGATGAAACAAACCAGCTGAACGAGAACAACAACAGGATGTGGGCGAAGGGGAGGACCAATGACAGCGAGGCCCACGAGTTTGAAATAAAGGAAGCTAAAGACTACAATATCTTTCTCAGCAGGGGAAATGAAAACATCCTGAACTTATGGTGAAATCATCTCAGCCTGCAGAGGATGTGCAGAGAGCAGAAACACCAGCAAGAGCAGAAACAAAGGCTCTTCATCCTCGATAACATTCAAAAAGAAAGTTCACTTCCAAAAAACCAACAACCCCCCGCCCTTCCTTTTGAAACAACAGGGTTACGCCCCGTGTTTCACCGCCCTCGCCAGGTTGTTTGGGCTTGTTTCACAGGCCGGTGTGTCCGTTTACTGTCAGTGTCAACGGGTCAAAGCAGACGGGGGTTTGAAGGTGACACCCAGGCTGGAGCTTTGTGTGAGGACACCTTTGATTGAGCCCTGCAGCTGCCTGGGGTGGGGGTATGAAACAGGACAGGCCTGGGGAAGAGAGGTGGACGTTTTTAGGGTAACTCTGCCGGGGGTTGTTGCTGTAATGACGGATGGACAGATGGATTTGTATTTCTCTACAGGGAGAACAGGCCCCCAATGCTAAACATGATGCTAATGCCCATCTACACCAGATACCAACCCTTCGTGCTAGTGACTCATCACAGGTCGTACGTCGAGGGAAAAAGCTACGAGTCAAAACATGCAGCAGGAATGGCTCAACATTTGGGGAAGATTAAGTTTAGATCAACAGGTAGAAACCCTTCTCATTCCTGTATGGGAGCCATGAACCAGCAGTCGCTTAGCTTAGTTTAGCTTAGCTTAGTTTAGCTTAGTTTAGGGAATGGAAACAGGTAAACAGTTAGCGTGGCTCTGTCCAAAGGCAACAAAATCAGCATCTCTAATTAACACGTTTAATCCTAAGAAAATCATTCCTGTCTTGAAGCTGATTGTAACTTTATACAAGATTTGCATCAATCTTCTCTTCCAACTCTTGGCGAGAAAGCAAATAAGTTTATTTCCTGAAATGACGAACTGTTCCTTTAACTTGAAGCATTTTTTGAGAACTTTATGAGAATAATGACCTTTAACCACAGCAAGTCACAACACCTAATATCCAAAACAATCTTTTATCTTATCTTTTTATATGAAGATTTTAAAGTTATTGACATAAAACAAGCAAGTCAGAAACAGCACACATTAACAGTCTTGTATTTCTTTGTGGAGCCTCCAGCTCCTAATTGGATGGGTCCAGCTGTACAACCGTTTCTCCTTCGACAGACCTGCCAAGGACTCTACATTTTAAAACCTGTTGAAGTGGAGGCTCCAGCGAGTGTTGCATTATGTGGGCCTTGTGTGAAGGTGCGAGGCCCCTTAAACATCAGCAACTGGCCATTAGTGGTCTTGCTCAGACAAAGGTTGCTGCTGGATTTGAATGGAGAAGGCTCATTGACAAACATGTTAAGATCACAGAGATCCATCCCATCTTACTATCCTGCCAACACTTACCTCCAGGGTTTAGGAAAGAGTTAAAGCCTTTTCAGTTTAATTGCGCAACACAACTGACAGTTACTTGTGTCAGCTACAAACTGTTTTCTATAAATTAGTCTTTAGATCTGTGAAATAAAGGCTGGCCCTCCCTCTCCCAAACCCACATGGCCGACAGGAAACTGCCCGATTTCAAACTGGTAAAGTGCCACTAGGGAGGGAGTGGTGCTTTTACAACCCTCCGTCCGATCGGTCACGTGTTTACAGCAGGAGGTGGTGGCTCTGACTTTTGTCTCCCCTCTTCTGTCGGGGGAACGGCTGGCTGCCAGGCGCCGTCCCCACAAAGCCTCCCTCTGCATACAGGAATGTGGATATGTATGCACGGGCATGTGCTGCAGCAGAGAGGCCACTCCCAGGGCCGGCTAGAGACGGAGGATTTGAAAAAACAGGAACTACTGTGTGTGTGTGTGTGGGTGTGTGTGCAGGAAAAACGTGTGTCCTCGTCCTGCAGAGGAGAAGACCAAACAATCCGGCAGATGTGCCATTCTTAGAGTTAAAAAGTGGAAAGTCTAGTTTACGTTGACAAACCTGCTAACAGGATTACAGCCTTGAATCAAACCCAGAGGGGCATTAA